GTGAGATGAATGTTCTAGTTAGGGCTCCGTGCTCACTGATAGTGCTCCTGGGACTGGAGATTCCCCTCTGAGCCCCTCTGGCCCTTTGTCTGTTAGATGAGAAGAGAGGGAGGTTAACATGGGTGGTCTGAAAAGTCCTCTCCAACTCCCATGGATGAATCTAAAGATACTTCCTGTGCTGCTTCTGATGGTGATACCAGTCAGCCATGAATGGATTTAAGTGCTGGTAGCTAGGAGAGGAGGAAGAAATGTAAATAAGTTGATTTTTTGTAGAACGTTAAGACTAGAAAAGACTAGAAATGATCAGATCAGGCTCCTGAATTCATTCATTCAGCAACTCTTTGGCAATCCCATACCTTGCGAGCGCTGTTCTGGACACGAGGATAAGAGAGACCCAAGTCCTGTTCTCAGGGAGGGTACAGCCTGGTGGGGGACAGTATACGTCAGATTGTGGTAAGTGTGTGTGGAAGAGACGGGTGAGGGAGCCAGTGCACAGCAGCAATGGCAGGCTTCTCACTCAGGGTGGTCAGAGGAGGCGGTCCACTCAGGACACCTTCAAGCAGAGACCTGAGTAAGGAGAGACCAAACGTGAGCTATCAGAGATGAAGCTTGCCAGGTGTAAGGAACAGCGTGTCTGCCCTTGAAGCCTGAGGCTGAGAGGTCGCCAAAGCGAGCTCGCCCCAGCCACTGTGGAGTCCAGCCCACATTGATGGTTTCCCTTGTAATAGGTTAGATTATTTCGTGTCAGGAACACACTGGAAGGTTTTAACCAGTGAAAAGACATGATGTGATCAATGTTTAAGAATGTTGGCTTCCAGCTGCCAACTAGGAAGTGGAAAGCCAGACAGGCTCACCACTCCCCTAGAAATAAAAAGCCAGATAATCTACAGAATCACATCCATGTGGTAAAGCGGCAAGGCAGCCAGTGAGCCTGAAGCCTAAGGAAGGCATGTGAAAGGGTGACGTGAACACTGGCCCTGTGGCCGAGCATAAGGAAGAAGGCAGAGTGGCCATGCGAGGGGGTAAGAGGAGTTATGCTGATGAACTGCTAAAGGCCGGGTGTGGGTTAGCATGAGAGCCTAGAGCTGAGAACTGCAGACAAGCGGGGTTGACACCACTTGCAGGTTCTCCATAGACTTCCACTGGACCCTCATTAAAAAAAAAAAAATACCATGCACACAGTGGGAGACCAGAGGGTGCCTCCCTCAGGGGTGCCGCACGGCCTGGGGCAGGGGAGCAACCACGATGGGAGAGGTACACACAGGCCCACTCAGATTCTCCCTAACAAAGGCCACAAGCTACTGGGGAAAGAGCAGCAAAAACTTGTAGGCCTCAGAATACAGGTGAAAACCCAGTGAGGGTGGCAGGAAGGAAAACCCTTATGTGCAGTGGAGGGCAGGAAGCTGTCCTGGGCCTGAGCCACGAGCCGGCCCCAACTCCCGGGGAAGGACCACTGCAGAAGTCTCTTCCAGCCCAGGAGCACAGGGCCTGCCCAAGGCTGAGATGGAGCCGGCTGATGGCCTCCCCACCCAGGTCAGCAAGCTGAGGGTGCAGCAGGAATGTCGGGAACCCATTCCCCACCTGAGAACATGGTCACACTAGAGGAGTTTGAACGCTGAGGTGATCACAGCAACAACAAAACCCAAACCAAGCTCTGCTCACGACCCAGTTGACTCCACCCCTCACACAGCCTGGCAGGAAAAAGGCCACCCACTTCCAGGCATAAACACTTCCTACTTCAGTCTCTGCTCAGGTCTCGCAATCAATAAAAAATTTCAAAACATACAAAAAAGTAAAACAACCCATTGCCAAGAGACCAGTTAACAGCCAGGCTTAGAGATGACCCAGATTTTGAAATTACTAGGCAGGAAATTTTAAATAATTCAGGTTAATAAGTTGAAGGCTGTCATGGAAAATGTGGAACACCACATGAGTAGATGGGGAACTTCAGCAGAGAGGTGGAAGTATAAGCAAGTCACAAACAGTGATCGAGCTAGAAGAAAAGCATGGTAACAGATGGAGAATGCCTTCGATAGGCCCATCAGTAAACTAACACAACTGAGGAAATAAGCAGTGAACTTGAAGGTCAACAGAACTTACCCAAGCTGAAACACAAAGAGAAAAAAGAATGGAAAAAACCCAAAATAACAGGGCATCAGTGTTATGGGACAGTATCAAACAGTTTGAAGAGATAATGCCCAATATATTTTTTTAATGAAAAACATCAAGCTACAGATCCAAAAACCTCAGAGAATGCCAAGCAAGATAAATCACAAAACAAACCTAACCAAAATAAAAACTCCTAGACACAACATACTCAAACTGCTAAAAAAAGGTAAAGAGAAAAGTTTGAGGGCACAGGTTACGGGGGTACAAAGATAAGAATTATAGCAGCTGTCTTGTCAGAAATTACACAGCCATTTAAAATGCTGAAAGGGAAAAAACTGGTAACCCCAAAGTCTATACCAAAAAAAAAAAATCTTTCAAAAATGAAAGACTTTTCAAATACAAACTGAGAATTTATATCCTGCAGACTTGCACTATAAGAGATATTAAATAAAAATTCAGATGGAAGGAGTATCATACCAGACAGAGACTTGGGTCTACACATAAAAAATGAGGATTTCCAGAAATGAAGGTAAATATAAAAGGTATTGTTTTTCTTACTTTAAATCACTCTAAAAGGTATTGAATTTCTGAAGCAAAAAGAGTAGCAATATATTGTGAGTTTATAGAATGTGTAAAAAGTGAAATGTATGACAACCACAAAAGATGGAGGGAATTGGGAATATGTTTCTTATACTCTGTGTGAAGTGTTATGAGGGTTGACTGTGATTAAAGATGTATATTGTAAACAACCATTAAAAACTTTAAAGAGGCATAAATAAAAAGGTAAGTGTTTGGAGAAACAGAGTAAAGTGGTGGTTACCAGGGGCTGGGGGTGGGGGAAGTGGGAAGATGTTGGTCAAAGGGTGCAAACTCCCAGTTAGAAGATTTAACAAATTCTGGAGATGTGATGTACAGCGTGGTGATTATAGCTAATTATACTTGAAAGTTGCTAAGTGAATTGATCTTAAATGTTCTCACCACAAAAAAGATGGTAATTATGTGACAGGATGGAGGTGGTAGTTAATGGCCTGGTGGTAATCGTTTTGTACTTTATAAATGTATCCAATCAACAGTGTAAACTTACACAATGTACTATGTCAATTATGTCTCAACAAAGCTAGGGAAAAAAAGATCAGTGTTGCCATGAAGTTGGGTGGGATTGACAAGCTATGGCCCACTGTCCAAATTCGACTTGCCACCTGTTTTCCTAAGCAGTTTTGTCAGAGCAGTCATCTTGCTTGTGTACTTGTCTGAGGCTGGCTGGCACACCACAGCCGACATGACGGAGTGTGCAGTTGTTGCCACAGGCACTGAGTGGTCAGCAAAACCCAAGAGACTACTACCTGGTCCTTTTCAGAAAAGCCTGCTGAGCCCTGGACTAGGGGACAAGGTGAAAAAACAGGGAGGCCGGTGGGGGCCGGTGCAGTCACCCAGGTGAGAAGTGACGGGAGCTCGGCCTCAAGAGGCTATGACGAGTGGCAGAAACCAGAATATGTTTAGGAGAGAGAACCAACAGACAGAGCATAGATAAAGTGAATAGTACAATATTGAGTGTAGTATTTAGTGTCTCAGATTGTCTTTTTAGCAAGGAATTCCTGTTTTCAAAAACAGAAAAACAGAAACAAAAGAGCAATTGAAAAACTGATAACAACCCAGATTACTTATGTCAGATGGAAGCTGGAGTTGGGCACTCAGCACCCTGGCTCTTCCCATTGTACTAGAAACACCCACTCAGCTCCTGACTTCCAGTGAGCAGAATCTGAGAGTTGCAGAAGGCCTAGAAGACACACCTTTGAGACAAGCCTTAGCATTCCAAGGGGCACAGTGGCAGAACCCAAATGTGCTATTACGTTGCCAGCATCCAGCTGCTATCTACTGGTTACGGGGTTTTAGTGTCAAAACTGAAATAAGACAAGAAGTTTTCTTGCACTGGGCATGGTGGTGGGAAACATGACAGCCGACATGTCTCCATTTGCCTGTTAGGCTGACTACAGCGGGTCAGACACATGTCACGCTTGGGCAGGCGCTCTTTAAATCCAGCTTACCTGCAGACAGAGATGAAACGGGTGGACTTGGGGACGGCCTGTGTTAGGGGCTGAACTGTGTCCCCCACCGTTCATGTGTTGAAGTCCTAACGCCAGCACCTCAGCATGTGACTTTAGAGAGTCTTGACAGAGGTGATAAGGTTACAATGAGACCATTAGGGTAAGCCTGATCCAATGACTGGTGTCCTTATAGAATGAAATCAGTTTGATGCAGTCACACTGGGAGAAGACTGGCCAAGGACAGCAGCCTGGAACAGATCCTTCCCCCAGGGAACTAGTGTTGCCGTCACCTGGATTTCAGATAGCTCAGCTCCAGAACTGCAAGACAGTGAGATTCTGTGGTTTAAACCGCGCAGTGCGGGGTACTTTAGTACAGCAGCCCTGGGAAGTAGATACAGCCTGGTAGCCATGGCCGGTGATTAGACGAAGCAGCATCGGGCTTCCTGTCTACACCTCCCAGTATGTTATGTGAACCCTCAGCGTGTGCAGGTGTGTGCAAGGTAATCTTGGGTAGCACGGAATGAATAATTTTAATTTACATAATCATGTATTTATCTTACTGCAAAAACGCTTCTAAGATTCGTTATGCATTTAAGGTTTAAATGCTATTAAAATATAAATTTCAATGCTAATAAAAATGTAAAATATAGGTAACACCTAAAATTGTGAGGTGCTTAGTGTTAGTCAGAGTCCATAAAATTTAGCATAAGATTAAAGTAGGGTAGAACAAAAGGTGAGTTAAGGGAAAGTAAAACAGGCAACTGCTAGTGCAGGTTGGTGGCTCGACGGCCAAAGGTGGGTGCAAACGAGAACACCCCTGGGGCTCAGCCTGCCTGCCCTCTCCTGTCCACTCCACACCCTGCTACACATGCACACACGCATGCACTCTGTGATTCGTGCCCTCCCTGAGGAGGCATGGTGAGGAATTATTTTGTAGACGAAATGTAAGGAAGCCCAGCTCTAGCTCTCCTGGTGTTGGCCACAGGCATACACTCTTGTGGGCCATTCCTTTGCTTTTCCTTTTAGCAGAGTCCCAGTGTGTACCCACTGCATCTGACACCACAGGTCAACAAGCTCTCTCCCCAGCCTGCTGGACAGCCAACATGTAGGTCCTGGGAAACCAGAGGGCTGTGGCTGCGGCCACGTTGTATTGGGATCCCTCAGCCAAGGGCTGCAGCGTGAGAAGATCCAGAATCATCACAGGGGAAGACATGACCAGAACCGGTGACAGAAGGGAGTGGGTAACCATGGAAGGTTTTATTTCTATAGACGGACTCTTGGGGACTGAGTCCCCCAAGCACAGGTGACTTTATTTTAGATGTTTAGATGACGACCTAGACCTAGGTAAAGGGCAGTGCTAGCCTGCTACCCTGGCACCTTTCTCTCCCCCTTTCTCTTGCTCTCCCCAATCTCTCTCACCATTGCCTCCCCACCCCGTTTCACATGGCTGGGCCCCCATCCTGGGCAGATGCGCACACGACCTGGAGGCTGCTGTCCGGGCGGCCCACGCAGAGCTGTCCAGCTACTGTGGGGTCGGGGCTTCCGCACCACGCAGCACACGCAGGGCTGGGAGTCCCTGGAGCGCCTGCACTCTCCTGGGCGGGCACCCTGCACTCGGGGAAGCAGAAGCTGCAGGTCTCCACTGGCTCTGGTGGCCCATCCACCGTGCTCCCAGCTTCCATCCAGTGATCTGTGTGGGAAGGGGAGAGGGCGCTGGCCTTTGTCCCGACGCCCCTCCGCCCTGCACCCAGAGTCAACCCGGTTGTGGAAGAATGAAATGCTGCTCGCAGACCAGAAACCTCTCTGCACCCTGCCGTGCCCTCCTCCACCCAGCCGGCTGCCAATGCCAGCTCTCCTGCTTGGGGGAGCCTGTGCAGGAGCAGGCTTTCACAGCTTGACTGACACTCTTCCTGTGCCCCCCAAATCCTGGAAGACCACCCCCGGTTTTAGTCCCACACCCCCAGGTCCCTGCCAACCCCATGGCAGTTACCCTACACCTGCCCTTACTTAGGTGCCCCATCTCTTCCTTCCCTGTATTTGAACCTGATTTCACCAACATAGGAAAAAGACTGCAGGGATTGGGCCAGCCGAGTGGCTCAGTTTGTTATGAGTGCGACCTCTGAGTAACAGGGTTGCTAGTTTGATTCCCACATGGGCCAGTGAGCTGCGCCCGAGCTGAGCTGCCAACAGGTGGCAGGATGGCTTAGCTAGTGGGAGCACGTGCTCCTAACAACAAAGTTGCCGGTTAGACTCCCACATGGGATGGTGGGCTGTGCCCACCCGCAACTAAGATTGAACATGGCACCTTGAGCTGAGCGGCTCTGAGCTGCCGACGGGCGGCTGGATGGCTCAGTGGGTAGAGGGTGTGCTCTTAGCAACAAGGTTTCTGGTTTGACACCCCCCCCCATGGGATGGTGGGCTATGCCCACCCACAACTAAGATTGAAGGACAACTTGGCTGTTCCCCAATTCCCCAACACTGTTCCCTTTTCCCAATTCCCCAATAAAACCTTAAAAAACACTGCAGGGATTTGCCTCAGGCCTCTCCCAGGAAGCAGCTCACCATTTAGAAGCAGTGGCAGTGCCAGGACAGAGGGATGGCTGGCGGCTTGTCCCACAAGCAGTGGGGGGGCAAGGACCCCCGTTTCATGCTCACCCTTGGAGGACTTGGCCCGGGTCTGACATGGCCCTGGGGGACGCTGGCAGGAGAACTGGTCCCCCCTCCTCTTGAGGAAGCAGGCCATGGCCAGGAGAAAGCAGCAGATGATAGCGCCAAGGCAGAGCCCCAACGTACTGTAGACCAGGGCCAGCTGATCAGCGCTCAGCTTCAGCCCCGGAAGGGCTGTAAGACAGCAGTGAAGCCCTGAGTTCAGGAGGGGCCCATCACTGCCCAGGACCCTTCTCTGAAGTGCCCCCATCTCCCTTAGGCCAGCAGCCCCCTGCCCTACAGCCTTCCTGTCCCCTCATTAGGCCCATGCATGGGCATCCCCACACCCCCCTGGAGGGCCGAGCCCCAGCTGCCGCTTGCTGTGGGCCTGTCTGATTCCAGGAGAAGCTGGCTCCATTCCTCATCCTGAGGCCTGGCTGGCACGCTCTCTGGACCCTGGAGGAAACCAAACCCCTCTATCTGAGGCTGCTAGCAACTTCTTCCAGGACCTCAGAGCGGGACACTTCTCAAGCTGGTCCTTTTGGCTGTCTCCACTTGCTATGGGGATGTAGAATGGGACAATGCCATAAAGGTGGATGGACATATAATTGGACAAATGAATGGACAATAGTCCAGGGAGGGTGTTTCCATCTGTCCTGACGGGGGCCGTCCCCCAAGGAGAAGCCTTCCTGAGGGAGCACACACTGGCAGTGAACCAGGTGTAGTTGCTAATGAGCCTGGGACAGCTGGTGTAAACCAGGAGGGCCCTGGGAAATGGGGCCCCAGTCACTTTACTTCTCAGGGCCTTGAGCCTCTTGTTTGGGTGCCGAGAAAGACTCAGCCCAGGGCCAAAGCCCTCCCTTGAAATTTCTCCCCATTCCAAGCTTTTCCTGGGCCCTGGAATTGGAGCACCCTTTAGGCCCTGGGGTGGAAGGACAGATGAGCCTGAGTTAATATAATGTGTATGTAATATACTCATGACGTGGACCACCTACTGAGCCCTTTCTGTGTGCGGGCACTTCCTGTAGTGTCTCCTTTAATCCTCCTGCTCCTAGGAAGAAAGACTGATTGTCTTCTTTAAAAAAACAGATATAATTCATATGCCATCAATTCACCATTTAAAAGTGTACAATTCAGTGGCTTTTAGTACATTCATGAGGTTGTGCAGCCATTACCACTACCTGATTTGAGGCGTTTCCATCACCTGGGTACCCACTAGCAGTCACTCACCACCCCCCTCCCTAGGTCCTGGCAACGACTACACTACTCTGTCTCTGCGGATTTGCCTATTCTGGACATTTCATAGGAAGGGACTCTGACTACAGGTGATCTTGGGAGTCTGGCTTCTTTTACTCAGCATGTCTTCAAGGCTCATCCATGTAACATACGTCAGGACTTCAATCCTTTTTATGGCTTGAAATACTTCATTTCAATGGTATGGTTCAAAAGTATGGTTCAAATACTTCATTTGTTTATCCATTCATCTATTGATGGACATTTGGGTTTCCACCTTTTGCTATTATGAATAATGCTGCAATGGCCACCTGTGTACAAGTCTTTGTAATATGTATATATACCTAGGACTGTTTTCCACAAGGGCTACGCCATTTTATGTTCCATTTTACAGATGACAAAACCAAGTCTCAAAGTCACATGCTCCCAGTTGCAGACCTGCACTTGGGAACTGGTCTGATGGACTCCAGGCCAGTGCTCTGGGCCCGCCACACAGAGGTGGACACTGCCCTTCACCCTTACTCAAGCTTCTTAGGGTCAGGAGTTTCATAAAGCGACAGAGTTGGCAGGTGTCACCCTGAGGTTTCATAGGGAGAACAGGAGCTCTGGGTAGGCTGATGTCACCACCCCTAGGCCTGCAGTGCTGACTTCATGCCCCATGCCCAGAGCTCTGAGGGCCATGGGGGAGGGGGAAGCAAACCCCACCACCACCACCACCACCAGTGGGGCACACAGAACGCTGGTGCTGCAGATCTGGAGACTGAGGCCCTAAGAGGTTAGAGGATCCAGGAAAAGGGCACAGAGCAGAGCACAGTGGCGTCCACATTTCCCTACTTCCAGGCGTTTCCATCTCTTCACCTCCTACTTGCCTCTGGAATAAAATGAAAACATCATACTGACTGGATCAATGGGGAGAGGCCAGCAGTCTTCACATCAGAGATGGGATGCCTAGCTACCAAATGAACTGCATGTCTATTCAAGGGGAAAGACTAAAGTAAACATTTGAAATGTTTTCAGCATGAATTCTAGCATCTCTTAGACTGTGGCAGCGAGTGTTCAAAGATGGCCCCCAAAGAATCACTTCCCCATATCTTGCCCTTCAAATCCAGGCTATTGGGCCTCACTGTCACCAGTAGAATGAGGTGGAGATGGCACTGTGCCAGTCCTGGCCTATACCCTGGCAGCCTCTGCTTTTGCTCTCCTGAGAGCCCTAAGCCACCAAATGAGAAGTTCAGCTGGAGAGGTCCCGTGGAGAGGCCCATGGAGCAGGGTCGGCTCTGAGACTAGAGGGAGGGACAGTGACGCCCAGCCATGTCACCACCCAAGCCGAGCCTCCAGGTGATGCCATCCCCAGCAGTCTGCCTTCAACTACACCGAGATTGAAAGCCACACCTGCAGGAGACCTGCCCAACTGAGTCCAGTCACCCACAGAACCATGCGAGACAATAAAATGGTTATTCATTCACAGGCCACTAAGTTCGGGTGGCTTTCCGATGCCCCAGCAGACAACCAGAACAGAGACTCTGCTCCTGAAGGGGGGAGGGCTTGTCCCAGCCCCTTTTCATCCTTCTGCCCAGACCAATGATTTGAAGTTTCCTGTGGGAAATGAAACTAGTTGCTGCCTGGTGACCGACCCCTAAACATGCATTTCAAAACCTCTGGAGTAAGAGAAAAGCAAAACTACAAAAGATGTCACTTTCCACGAATCTCACAAAGGCACAAAGGCATGGGAAAACAAGGACCTCACTCCTTGGTGGGAGTGAGGGGTTGCCTCTTTCGAGGGCCATTTGGAACCATCTACCAACACCGAAAACTCACTTTCCTGATTCCTGTGGCCTCACTAACTTCGCTTCCAGGGACACATCCCACTCACAGACACAGGCTTTCATTGGAGCTTTGTAACAGCAAAAGCCAGGGATAGCCTAGCTGTCCGTCACTAGGGGAACAGTTACACGGACTGTGGCATATCCACAGCAGTGTCACCAGAATGAATGCAGCACGTCCGTGCATCCTAACATGGACCCATCCCCTAGAGATATGGAGTGACAGTGGAGAGGTTTCAATGCCAAATAAAACACATAAGGAGATGTAAATATGCCTTAGATAAGAATAGGTATGAAAGGACAAACAAAAAACTGCTAATAGTCACGCTTCTGGGGAGAGAAACGGTAGCTAGAGGTGGGATGGAGACTCATTTCCAAAACCTTTTAAAAAATAGCTTCTTTTAAAAATGATCTCTGTGTATCATATATTCAGAACAGAAAAACAGCTCAAAGCTGCTGTGGTAGTTCACACTTCCAAAGACTCAGGTTAAAGGCTGACCAGAGGATGGGAAGACGGAGGCCCAGCAGCTCCTGGGGACACTAACAGGAAAGTCATCCCCATGCTGCTTTATGCGCTGCTTGGATGGGCTCAGTCACTGGCTCTGGCAGCAATAAGCGCCAAGACTCTCCTGGGGGAAGGGACGTGGTCAATTCTCTGTGACCAGGCCACCACGAGACAGAGGCCTTGTTACTTGCTTCACTGTCTGCTGACCCCAGGAGCAAAGGCGCACAGTCGCAAGTTTTTGTCAGAAAAGGATGCATTCTCTGCCCTTGTCTAAAAATCAAGTCCTGGGGGAGACAGCCCCTGGACTGCAGATGCAGTTCCTGAGTACTACCACCGGGGGGCATGACGCTTCTGACCCCAGCCGACAGTCTATTTCCAAACTGGTTTTTGTTTTGTTTCTTTACTGTCTTCAAAGACCTTTCTCACCTAAAAATAGAATTGCCCGTGACTGATTCTGCCCCAGCTCAGGCTCGGGCTGGCCAGCTGGGCAGCATTATAACTTGTCGTTTAGGGGCCAAGCAAAGGGAGTGACCTTGGACAGGGCTGGGCCAAGAATCCAGGCATCTCGGCCTCAGCTGGGTGTAACCGTGGGCAGGGAGGCGCAGCTACACTGCTTGAGTTGAATGTGGTTTTGGACATTTTACTCAAGGTCTTCAGGCCTCAGTTTCCTCCTCTGTAAAGTGGCATAAGATATTCCTATCTCTCAGCAGGTGCTTGACATCCGTGGGATTACTGTGAATGCGCATGAGGCAGCTAGGCCAGGGTGGAGCCTTCTGGCCAATCGCCAAGCATCCCCACCCCCACAGCCCAGCTAGCTGTCCATGGGGGTGTGGTGAGGCCCCAGTGGTGACTGTGGTGTGGCTCCTGGCACATGAGGCTTTCTGCTTCTCCCCCCCCACCCCCGCACACGAGTTCGAAACATAGCTTGTGGGCCATGTCCACGTGGAGGTGAACGCGATTTCTACACATGGCAGTGCTATTTGGTCAATGTTCACACTTGAGGGGGGTTCCTGCAGTGAGTGCAAGCCTCACTCTCAGGAAATCAGGGGCCTCCAAATGTCCGTATCTGTGGGCTTTTCCCCATAAAGGACCCCTCCCCAACCCCCTCTCTGTGAGAGAGAGAGAGAGAGAGAGAGAGAGAGAGAGAGAGAG